CACACACACACACACACACACACACACACACACACACACACACACACACACACACGCACACGCACAAGAGCAAATTAGTCTCATTCTTCTGTGGTGGCAAATCATTGTAGACCTCATTGTAAAAGTACCCATAAAATGTTTGGTTGACATTGAGCTATAAAATTGTTTCATGTGACTGACTGATGCAATTTAGAGACAAAGAGTTATGAGAAGTGACACCAAGCAAACAAGTGGGTACATTCATCATTCATAGGCTGAAAACTGAGACAGGAAAATGACATCCAGGGACAATAAATTCATCTGATAAGGTAAAACATAAAACTTAGGGAATTAGGTTTTAAGCCCATTTAAAAAAAGAAGAAAAAAAGATTTGTTTATCTGACAAGTTCAGAAATGATACCCTTAAAGCTTCGAAACATACATTTATGAAACCATATTACAAGACATTGTGGCAGGCATGCAGCCTGACATTTTAACTGTGCAAACAAGGCCTGAAAGGTCAGCGCTTGTACTAGTGAATGCCAATAAATATTACGTGCTCACTCAGATCTGGGAACATTTAGTCCTCACAATACAGAAGGCAGTGGAGTATGTGCATATGGCCTGCGGTTTCTTGTTTACCACTGGTTGTGTTGTGCTTGCAAAGGGCAGTTGTGAATAAGAGACACATTTCTGATGCCCTAAAATAAGTGCCACCCACAGAACTGTYGCAATACACGATGTCATAAGTAATCTGTGTCTTGAAGATTCTCTCATACGATCTAGCAACTGATTCTGTACCGTTTATCCACTGCTGTCCACATTATTCATCCACATACTTCTCTTGATTAAAAAGGATAGGCTGTGTCCTGTTCGGGTTGGGATCAGGGGACAAGGCTCAGCAATATGTGGTTTAAGCAATGTCCAATTGACTTTGCAGGCTGGTGTCTTGCTGGAGGCGACTTTGTAATTGCAGGCTGAATTAATTGCAGCCTCGTCTGCGATGGCACCATCCTTTCAAGGTGGCCAGGAGTAGCTGTTTACCACTGGTCTGAAGACACAATAAAGCCACCCACCTTCTGTTTGTGCTTACCTTAAAAATTAAATCCTTTTTCCCGTACCGCAGTTCTTTCAGTTGAGCCTGGATTTTTTTGGACTGCATGAGAAAGATAAGGAAATAAGTGTTAGCTTATTCAAATAGCAAAATTGGTTTTAGATCATGTAGCAGGATTCTGCCAGCTGCAGCAGGAGACTCCTTTGTGAGTGTTCCCTGTGCAAAGCTCGGGCTTAAAGGAAGGCCCTACTGAGAGGAAGAAAATATCAAATCTACCCTTCACTGAGCTGCATAGTCCACACAATGATGCAGTCTTGCACTGGCTTCTTGCCCACTGTCTAAGGCTGAATTCCTACTCCCACCACACACATGCMGGTTTTTTAGACTCGCAACTAGCTCCAGACCATCATCGGTTAACGACACACACACAACAGAGCAGCTCTTCTCTGCCAGCCAGAGACCAGCACTGTCTGATTCTGCTGCTTCACGTCGATGGCCACATCCAACACAGAGGCTGCCTCCCTGATAGCCTGATACACAGCTATTCACAAGGCTGCTAATGATGTGCGCATAAACACTGAAAGCCTCCATRTGGAACCCAGCAACATCTCAGAGGGTCTTGTTGATTTATAACTAGAAGATATTGTTGGAGTTCTGGACCTCGTTCTCTGTAAAGCCTTGCAGGACTGTAGCTACAGAGTATGCAAATAATAAATGCCTTTGGTTCAACATGAACCCCAGAGAAGCAGAAGCCAAGCG